GAAAAATCTCGGAGGGCCCGTGTGCAAGTCGCGCACGTTAAAGATCCCTTGGTGGTCTCAAATCGATAAGAGTAGGCTTCGGCAGCCACCCGGGCAAAATTCAAAATTTTCTACCAACTGAAAATATTAGGTGTGTCCCGCGCGCTCATATGACCGTATGCAGTTGCGAGCGCCGTAAAACACTTACCAAAACAAAAACAAAATGCCTCCTCCTCCTCCTCCCTCTCCTAGTCCTTCCTTACCTTCAGGGGCAACACCTCCTTGTTGATGGTGTAGAAGAAGGACATAGCCGAAGTCCAGGAGCACAGACCGGCGACATCACCACAGACTTTCTTGGCGTTCTCCAGGTTGTAGTCCTCCATGGTCAGGTAATGCTCGAGAAGCTCCACAGTCTCCGCGTTGATGGAGTCCTGCAAGATTGTTGAGGAATTTAATTATAATTTATGTTTAACTTCTCCACACAGACACACACACATATCGCACACTCACACACACACACACACACACACACACACACACACACACACACACACACACAAACATACAAACATGGCAAGATTGGACATGAGTGTAATTAGATGTTTACATTCCCCACGTACATTGGAAGATTTTAATTGAAGGTAATTATATGTTTAGCTCCCCCCACCCCCTCTCTCTCACACACACACAAAGATTGTAAATGAATGTAGTTATTATAATATGTTTTTAAATTCCCCACACATATTGAAAGAAATCCTAATAACATCAAATAATAATTATATAAAAACAAAAGTAAACTAACTAGGTAGTGGCAACGTTTGAAAAAAAACAACAACCCCAATGCACAAGGATTTTATTGGAATAAAATCCCATCAATTTCTCAAGAAAAGGGGGGGGGGGTGACGAGAAATGACTCACCTTAGGGAAGTTCATGAGCAGGACCAAGAAGTTGGAAGAGTTCATAAGCTTGAGAGCCTCGCTCCACGACGGCTTACAGCACATCCTCTCTGGGTCTTGAGTCACAGGATCAAGTCTCCTCTGAATGGGTAGGTAGGTAGATAGGTAGATAATTAAGTAGGTGGGGGGGGTAGGTAGGTAGGAAGGTAGGTAGGTGGGTGGGTGGGTGAGAGGGTAGGTAGGTAGATATGTAGGTAATTAAGTAGGTGTATGGGTAGGTAGGTAAGTAGGTAGGTAGATAGGTGGGTAGGTGGGTAGATAGGGAAATAGACAGGACGATAAACAGGTAGGTGGGTGTGTGGATAGGTAGGTAGGTAGGTAGGTAGGTAGGTAGGTAGGTAGGTAGGTAGGTAGGTAGGTGTTTTGTTAAGTGTTTCAAGCCATTGGATCACTTCACATAAAACATACATATTTTAAAGAAGAATGTTTTATGTTTTAGAGAGATTTAAGGCACTTCCAATACAACTACATCATATGAGTACCTAAGATTAGAGATGTTACAAGAGAGTAACAAAAATAAAATAGAAGGAGGAGAAATCAAGACGATCGATGTTTGATAGGAAAGAAGACACAGACCACACCAAACCACACCAAAACTGGTACCTCAGGCTACAAAATGTGTACAAGGCTGAAAATGGGTTGTTTTTATATAGAACAAAATACAGAGCAAAATTATTCTATGGAATTTATCTAAAAGGAATATCAGACAAATTCCTTTTGACTTTCAAATATTATGTTCAGATTTGAAAGGCAAAGCTTCGGGAAATCAGAAATTTGCCACTTGCAGGAATGGTTTTTGGTTTGTTGGTTATATAGTCGTTTTCGGTGTCACTGTCGCTGTTGTTGTTGCTTTTTGTTGTTATTGTTGTTTTATAGTTGTTGTTGTTGTTGTTGCTGTTGTTATGGGATTTTGGGGGCTTCCTGTTACTGTTGTGTATTGTCTGTATATCGGTTTAACACTCAAGAAAGCTTAGACCAAAAACTTGAAAGGGATTTTTTTTTTTTTTACTCTGAAAAAGAACAAAAGGGAGAAAGGTAGAAGCACGACACGGCATTAAAAAAAGCACCAAAAACCCCCATTTATTTCACCACAATAAGTACAAAGTCGATCTGTCTGAGTCCTGAGTCTCACCTGGAACAGAAGCAGCACAGAGTCCATGATCCTCATGATGAGATGAGGTGGCTTGGCCAGTTTCCTCACAGTGGAGATGTGAGCAGGTTTGATGGTCTGCAGCGCAGATTCGGCTTCTTCAAGGGCAGGTCGGGCTGCCTCCAGTTTTTCTTCAGCGGCTGCTTTGTCGATCTGGAAAAAAGGGAACAATTTTTTGTTTATTGATTTATAAATGTAATTACCTTTAAGCTCCCCTCCTCTTTCCCTCCCCCCTTTCCCTCCCTGCATCCATCCGTTGTGTTGACCCTGGGCGGGAGCAGGGAGCAGGGAGCAGGGAGCAGGGAGCGCGAGGTGT